ATCTACAGGGCTCGTGATTGTGTTTACTATCACGTGAGGGTCATGCTGTCATCTCTTTGACCATTTAATCTTGATTACTTGCCCTAAAATTGACAATCTCCTTCCTGAGTTGTTATGATCAGTGTGTTCCTTTTGTGTTAATTTTGAAAGCTGTTCTGTGAAAGAGTTGGTTAGGCTTGCTTCAGACTGGCTAGTGCTAGGGTCTGATTTATGCATATGAGATACACCAAATGGCAAAAGAAAAAAAAAAGCATAACTAAACCACACTACTCGTTTGAGCTCCGCAGTTTATCAGCTCGGACCAACAGCCTACTTGAGAGCAGCGAAAGCAAACTAGTCCGAGCTCAGAATAGGTTTACTCAGGAACCAATGTTGATCTCGCGACACTGTTGCTGCACAGCGCTGCGAGATCCAGTGAGAAACGTTTGAATTCTGCACAGATCAAACTTATTGGCTTATTAGTCATTCATCTCTACTTTTTGCTTTATATTTTGAAATTATAAAATCACAGTTATAAAATATCACATTATCAAGAAAACAAATTTTAAACTTTTTTGTATATGAAGTAAGAAAAGTGACAAAGTGCCTTAAAAAACTAATTTTATAAATGTATTAATTTTTATAAATAATACTAAAATAACGGAAACAATGACTTGTAATATTTGATGCATCAACAAAACATTACACAGACTGAATTTCACAGATTGAATTTTAGTTCAATAGAGTTTATAGAAAAATTCTGCTCAACTTTTACAATTATAAAACTGACTAATTAGGAATCCAAACTCAACTCAAATCCAAGGTTAAATATTAAATCTTGACTGTAACCTGGTCCCAGATGTGACCAGGTAGTTAAAAAGCTACTGAAGCCCACCTGCAGTGAAGATAAATTAAATAAGTGTGCATGGTTGTCCTCTGTCTGACAGTTGCATGAGGTGAGATGTAAAGAGCGAGCAAGAGAGAGAGCTGTAGGGCAGGAATATGAAGCTGTTTGTGGCTTCACCACATGG